CTAGGCGATAGAGTTTGGGAGAAAGTAGGAGAGGACAAAAGGCGTGAACACAGGCGAGGGAAAAGCACCACTTGACATATTCGTCCTATGTATGACGAACTATAAATATTTTTTTGCAGGCGTGTCGTTTGCGTCGGTGGTGGTGAACGTCGGCGCGACGTATTTGAGCCAGGGAGAGTACCTTAAGGCGCTGGAGGGTTTGAAATCGCTCACAAGATGCACCCGCACCACCCAAAGCCATGTACAACGCGGGGCTGGCCCACTGGCACTTGGGCCATCCACAGCTGGCCGCGACCAAGGTACTAACTAAACACCAAACGATGTGGGACTTTGTTGATCAATCGACCTAGTTTACAGCCGTGTTGACAGCCGATCCGTCCCATGCCAAGGCGATCTACGCCCTGCATGTCCTTCACACACTTCCACGTTAGTGCCTCGTAAAACAATGCGATAGTTATTGTAAAATATTATGGTTGTGTTTATTCTAAACTGGAGCGACATGGAGAATGAATCGACACAACCAAATGTTCAGAAGAATGGACAGAAGTATTTAGCCAATCAGATTGCATCAACAACGTCAAATTAGTGTGAGAATCCAATTAGTGTGATAGCAATCACCACAGGAGCCCTTTTTACATACAAAATTCAGTACAAGAATCGATCGATAGATTTGGCGACTCGGCTCAAAAGTCCAAATTTAGGGTAAAACAACAATAATACACGTAAAATGTCGAAGCGAATGGGGAAGTTGGGTACATACCGGTAGGTTGAAATAGGGGGCATCGATTTGTGTAAATGACAAGCGAGGAAGGTTCTTGTTCAGCCAACTACAGTTCAATTCAAACCCTAGAGGGGAAATCATGGTGCAAGAACGAGTGTACTCTTAACAACGCGACAATGTATCATCCTTCCGTGACATTACGATACAAATGTTAATCTGTGGTGGCTATTGGTATGTTGACTACACTTCAGTACGGGGTACAGTGCAAATGATTACGACACAACACTGGACAACAGCGCCACCATGTCTGGCTTGTCAAAGAGCGAGGCCAACTTGAGCGGCGTCTGCTGCATGTTGTTCGGATTGTTAGCCCCGGCGCCATACTGGAGCAGCAGACTCACGCAGTCCCCATATCCCAAGTACGCCGCCTTGTGGAGCACCGTGTTCCCCGACGAATCGCCCACATTCACATTGGCGCCATGACGAAGCAGTAGCTCCAGCGCCTCCACTTGGTGGGCTTCACAGCCCACAGCAAAAGAGCCCACCCAGAGTCTTCGTCGACAAAGTTGACGTCGGCGCCGCTTTCAATCAACGATGCGATGCGATCCGTCACTCCGTTGCACACGGCATCCCGAAAATCTTCACTCAGGGTTAGGCCACTTAATCGTCCGCTTCATGGCTGTCCGATCTGGTTCGCAACAGTAGTACTCAATTTCTATTGGCTATAATTAAAACATATGTTTGCTCTCCTCCGCTGCAATTTCGCACAAAATAGTGCTGTCCACCACACTCCTAGCAGCCATATTGCTGAAAGCTCAGGTCAGCGGGTTATCGCCTGCATTGCAAGGCCTTGGTTGCCAATAAAATCGATTTAAATTCCAGAGAAACCACGCCACAACATGAAATTTCGCTCGAAAGCACAATACTTCAATTTTGTTAAGTTAACAACCACAGTGAAAGTGACATTGATAACCGCGGTGTAACGTTGGATAGAACGGTTATAACATCGGAGAGATTAACACAGCATTCACAACTCTAATTACTAATATTGGATTGTATTTATTTTTCACGCATGCGGAGGCTCGTATCGTCGCAGGTCGTTACGGATTGGCGCGTTGGTCCGCTGGCGTTTTCGCAAGTTGTCAACTTCGCCAGCCTTGTCCAAAAACTTCATCGTCGGGGTAAGCAACTGCAGCACCGTTTCAACGAACTCTGGGTTGCACGCGTTGTTTGTACTCGTGACAATTGCTCGTTGACATATGTCTCGTATGGAGGCTAGCTTGTCGTATGTGTCTTGAACGCTGTGGTTGTCCAGGTCAACTAATGTTCTGAGTAAGACTTGCTATGTATTATTTATTTACATTCAGGTATTATTACCGCTATTTCTGCCGGCGGTACCAACGTCGCCATCACCGGTACTTTTGGGGTTGCGAGGTGCGGTGCTCGTACCAGCAATCGTACCAGTGGTGTCAACGGTGTTGTCAACGGTGAAGTACATGGTCTTGTCTTTTTCGGCAGCAAGCATTTCACGCTTGGTCTTTGGGAAAACCCACAATGGATGGGTGTACCTTCGCACCTTAAACGCTGGTGCAAGGTACTACACATTGTTATTGTTGAATTACGACTAATGAAAAATGCAACATTCACTTACATCATTCGCAGTCGTATCATACGCGTTTCCCGAACAAATGCAGACACTAAATGCTTGCACAGGAAATGCTCGTTGTACTGATACGCTGGACAAGTGCAAATCCACTGAAAGAAGCAAGTGTCGTATCTACCACAATTCAAGTCATTGTTCATGATTTTCGCAGCACAGGCCTTCCAAGTTCGGTTGAAACTTCGTTCCCAATTTGGCCTAAGGTGTCCCGGATGCAAGCTTGTTGAGTTGAAAACTTCTCGACAAACCACCCTTGTAGTACTGTTGTTGTGAGCAAATACGTCAAAAAGTCCAGCCGAGGGCGAGATATTTCCTACAGAGTCCTCGTGTATGTAAAATTCTAATCGATATTTGCTAGACAGCATACCTATTTACTACCTTGAGGAATCTGAATTTTAATATGGAAAAATGCAGACCAATTTACTACCTTGAGGAATCTGAATTTTAATATGGAAAAATGCAGACCAATTTACTACCTTGAGGAATCTGAATTTTAATATGGAAAAATGCAGACCAATTTTCTACCTTGAGGAATCTGAATTTTAATATGGAAAAATGCAGACCAATTTTCTACCTTGAGGAATCTGAATTTTAATATGGAAAAATGCGACTCCACGAGCATGCAAGTTCGGAATTCGGACAGTGTTGTACTTGAACTTCGCGCCCACAAACACCACGCCTGCTGGTTGTACCAATTTGTGTACAAGTACATCCACACAAATGGCAGCTCCTTGAGACGACAGTACGTGAACATTTCCACCACAGCCTCGTGGTATATTGACGGAGGATCCTACAAAATATGAGAAGTGTGTAATAAATCCTTTCAAACCTGTCCTGAAAGCAAAGTGTGTTGCTTAAAATGTCTCTTCATCGTTTGTAGCACTTCGTTGCTGCACTCTGTCCCACCGAAACGTTGTGCGCTGCGCACGCTGTTTCCACCACTGGTTCCACCTCTGTAATCGTAGTTGTTCACAGATAGGCATCCAACGTCGCTAACACCGTTAACGTCAACGCCGCTGTCACCGTTGCTATCGTTGCGGTTTCGATCATCCCCAGTAACAACCCCGCAATCAAAGTCGAAATGACCGAATCCAAGCCCTACAGGGGGCAAATCAATCTATTGAGTACTTGTAACTTCAATTCTGCATTCATCCTCGACATCGGATGCATGCCACATTCCATGCAAACACAACGGTTTGGGAAACGTTTGGTCATTCAATATCGATGGCAATGGATGTTCCATCAATGTGATTCGATACCTAGGAAATGTAGTAAGCTTACAGCTGAATTATCCAGCTCACTTACGTGGACCCATTTGGCATCTTGGTTTGCTGTGAAAACCTGGATCTCACTGCCCTATCCAAATGCCACAAGCACAAATGCAACTTTGCCAGTGGCCACGCACATCTAACGCCTGCAATCTGACTGGAGTCTTTGTCGAGGTGAATAAATTGTGGCGCCAGGTTGAAGTGCTCGCGCAGGTACTCGAACCATTCAGTCAAATACGCGATCCGTATATTGTAGAGGTCTACAAATATGTTGAACTTTATAAAATCTGAATTATAGAGTTACTGTTTTTCTGAATGAACAT